CCGGGATGGCGGTCATAAATAGACTAAATAGTGGCAAAACTATTTTATTTAAAGCCAACGTTTCGACCCGACTTTGCAGGTCTTCTTCAGGACTAGAACGGACAAGATACAAATGGATATAGAGAATTGTGGAAGTTACGTCATATTTAGGTAAAAAATTATAAACAATGTGAATAAACTTATTAAAATTATAATCAGTATGTACATTACTCCTACAGATCTAAAGGAGAGATTGGAAGGAAAGGAAAAAGGATATAATATGAAATAATGGTCATAATATTATATTCTTCATATTATATCCGTTTTCCTTTTCTTCGAATCTCTCATGTAGATCTGTAGGAGTATATTCACAATTGCATATATTATATATTATACTACAACAATTGTTACCATCTGTTTACTTCAGTTTAGGGTCTCGTTATTTAGCTTACTCTGTTTATAATTTTAATATGTTTATTCACATTGTTTATAATTTTTTACCTAAATTGCTAATACATTTTGATACTATTTTTACGACCAGTATATTTGTGTATCTTGTATAATAGAGAATACTTTGTGACGAATGTCTTTAGATGTTAAGCAATAGTTTTACACTCAAATATGGTCTTACTAATTATAAGTAATGTTTGCTCGAAGTTATAATTAAAATTATAACTGAGTAATATTTGCGTATTCATTTTAAAATTAAAAAAAAAAATGAAAATTAATTCAATGAAATTTAGGTTTGAAAATATTTGTTTACTTTCTATTATTGTTAAGTGACTTCTTTTTATTTTATTTCTCAAAAAGAAGGCATTACAGAATTTATTTATTATAAGAATTCATGTAGGATATTCGGTTATATTGCATAAAATAATTACTGAAAACAGGTAACGTATTGTTTTAAAATAATGATAAATTCCACAAAGTGAAAAAAATTAAATTAGGACACATCGGACTGTAAAGTTCTTATAATTTTATAGCGATTTTTTAAAAAACATTTTCCAGGAGAATGAAAAAAAAATTAAAAATTGACAAACATTATCCCAAATAAAAATTGTTAATAAAGTTGTTGTTTTTTTAGTCCGGAGGTGGGTTTAGTTTAATTCATAAAAAGCTTTGTTAAAAAATTATTATTATATCTCTATTTTTTGTATGTTCAATTCAACAATAGTCTATGGTAACCAAGTTTTTGTTTTCTTAAATAATAATCTTTCACACCAAATGCAACTAAAATATTTATTATTAATAACAACCAAAATTTTAGTGTCCTAGTCTTGATGAATTTAGACATTTTAGATCAATTGATATATATATCTTTTTTTTACTTTCTATTTTTGTTTCTTCTAGGAAATAAGCTATAACACAATTTATTAATTATATAAACTACAACTTTCTATTTTTTTTAAAAATAATTTAATAGTACATTATTTTAAAAATATTGAAGTAAGTTAGTCGACTGTTCTACATATTATGGGTCATAAATATTCAGGGCGCATTATAGTGGTTTTATTGGTGACGACGTTTAAATATATATATATCATTTTGTTTTTGTTTTTTTTACAATTCATTTCTTTATATATTAACAGTTATTATTTTATTTTATTTTTATTTTCCATCACTACAATGCTTTGCCTATACAATTGATTTTACGTTCCTTTCTAATTTTATTTAGTGATTATTATACTATTGTTTTAGCTCCAATATTGTAGTATCGAACCCCTATTACCCAACTGTCCTCGTTAATTTATCCTAAGAGCTATTATACTTAATTTATTACTAGTATTTTGTTATTTGTCGTTGTAATAGGTCTTTTGGCCAGATTTATGGTTAATTTATATGAACAATACTGTTATTCTAAAGGGATCTAGTCCCAGAATAAAGATGATTTTTCTATTTCTATTCTATATATATTAGTGTTGCCCAAATGCGAGACCGAGATGATTCTTGGTCATGGTCTTGGTCTTTTGCAAGAGTCTCGCAGTTACTTATTAGCTTATTACTATCGAGATTTTACTGTAATTTTATATAAAGGAGAAACGTAACTAAGCCCGTATGAAAAATTAGAGGAGTTAAATGCAAAAGTATATTGGTTATACCAATTATTAACATATAGTAACTAAGATTGTCAAGTATTATTAAATATTTTACCTTAAAATTTATTTAAAAAATCAACTTTTTCCCAGTCCTGGTCTTGTTCTTGCAACAGTTTGGCGGCCTTGGCCTTGGTCTTGCAAAGTGCATGGCTAAGACCGATTTTGGCCCAATACTAATATATATATATATATATATATATATATATATATATATAATTTTTTTATTCTGCTTACAAGCAGTACATTCGTGTACCTTTTTGAGGATAATTTTTGCTATTAATGCCTTTAGATGTTAATCAGTAGTTTTTCGCTAATGTTTTGTTATTTTCTAACTAATATTTGCTCAAAACTCTAAAACAAGTCCTGATATAATAATAATAAATAAATAATTCAATCTTAATATAATCTTAACAATGGGAACTTTATAGACTTTGGTGAACCTTTGAGACAGCTGATGACCAAGACCCGCTATGGCCGTTCCAAAGAGACTTGGAAGACCCGACCTTGCTCGTCGGCCTTGCTGGGGGAATGTTGCCTTATTTCTCGACCCCACTTTCACTCTCCACCTGCTCCCAAACCGGTACGGGAGTGAGTCTCGCCTATTGAGAAATTCGTCGAGAGAACATGAGATCCGAATTTTTCAAACTTTTAAAATTTCTTCTATACTATTTTTTATATACACGTATAACCATCAATCAACAATGGGATATAAATCATTAATAAAAGTTTCGAAGTGAAAGTATTCGTTGTAGGTATCAGGGTTCAAGCAACTCTACGAACTCTCAACATCTCTAGATACGATTTTCTGTTCACAAGAAATATTCAAAAAATTGCACCCATCATTTTCCTGAATCATATCTAGTTAATAGTTGATATAATAATAACATAATCTTATTTCGGCCATTTTATAGAAAAATTAAATTTTAAGGGAATCTACCAATCATTTCGTTATTTTTTTTTTCGATCGGTCATTGGGAGTTTATTATTTGGATTTGCCGATCTTCAGAATCAAAACGCCCCAATTCCAAGTGTTTTCGTTAATAAAATAGTTGTAGGTTACAATGAAATGAAGTTATTCAAGAAGTTTCAGGGATATTAATAATTTGATAAAAAGGGGTCTGTACTGTAATCGCTCTAAGCTTCCAATTAATTACAAAAGATTCAGATACATGATTATAATAAGGCATATTTGGACTGACGGAGTTGAGCTATGGGGCTCCACTAAACCACCGTATTCTTCTCGTATCCAATCCTTACAATCCAAAATCCTTCGTAAAATTGCAACGCTTCTTACTTTGTTAGAAATAAAATCATCCATGACGACCTTAATGTTCCTTATGTTTCAGATTTGGTCCAATCCATATATCTATCCTTCCGTAATAAACTTCAGAACTACCCCAATCCTTTCTTTTCTAACTTTGCTTCGTCTTCGATTTCTGATAACTAGTGTTGTCCAAATGCGAGACCGAGATTTTGCGAGTCTTGGTCTTGGTCATGGTCTTGGTCTTGCGCAAGAGTCTTGCAGTTACTTATTAGCTTATTACTATAGAGTTATTATTGTAATTTTTTAGATAGGAAAAACCGAACTTAAGCCCGAATGAAAAATTAGAGGAGTTAAATTCAAAAGTAAATTGGTGATACTAATTATTTACATATAGTAGCTAAGATGGTCGAGTATTAGTAACTATTTTGTCTTAATTTTTATTTAAAAAATCGATTTTTTTTATCAGCCCTGGTCTTGGTCTTGCAACAGTTAGGCGGCCTTGATCTTGATCTTGAAAAGTGCAAGACCAAGACCTATTTTGGGCAACACTACTGATAACCCTCCGAGGCGTCTGAAAAGACGGTCTCGTGATCTCCCAATGTAGATGTATTATTAGAGTGCTATCAGTGGGTGGTTTCTCAATAAGCGTTTTGTTGTCATATTCATTCTTTCACATTTACTAGATGTATTTTTATTTTTTATTACAATTGTAAATACCATGAATAAAATAAAAATATTGAAACTTTATGTGTGTGTATTTTTAATCATTAAATTAAATATTGTCTTATAAACTATACAGTTCTTGTATTAAATTAATTTATAATATTCATAATAAGAGCTCATTTAGTAATGATATTAGTTAGATCACTATTTTAAAAAAATGAAAATTAATTCAATGAAATTTAGTTTTGAAAATATTTGTTTACGTTCAATTATTGTTAGGTGATTATAATGACAAACTTCACAGAGTGAAAACAATAAAAAATTAATTGAATATTTAATAGTTGACCGTTGCATTATAAAGGAAGGAGATGGTCCGGGTTGCGGTCATAAATAGGCTAAATAGTGGTAAAACTATTTAAAAATAAAAAAATAAATACGGACACATCGGATTGTGAAGTTTTTATAATTTTATGACGATTTTTTTTTTTTTTTTTTTTTTTACTTTTTTTCCCAGGAGAATGAAAAAAATAAATAAAAATTGACAAACGTTATCCCAAATAAAAATTATTTTTTTTATTCTGGAGATAGGTTCAGTTTAATTCTTGAAAATCTTTGTTAACAAATTATTATTATATCACTATTTTGTCTATGTTCAATCCAACAATAATCTATGGTAACCATGTTTTTGATTTCTTAATCTTTCACACCAAGTGCAACTAAAATATTTATTATTAATAAAATACATATTTTTAGTGGATTATATTAGTGTCCACTTTTATTACACAATTTTAAACGTAAATATCATGAATAAAAAAATAAAAAAATTTAAACTTTGTGTGTGTGAGTGTATTTTTAATCATTAAATTAAATATTGTCTTATGAACTATACAGTGCTTGTATTAAACTAATTTACAATATTCATAATAACAGCTTACTTAGTAATGATATTACTTAGATCACTATTAAAATAAAATAAAAAAAATAAAAATTCTAATTACCTGTTTGACGTCAATGGGCCTCGACTCCGGATCGTGGGAGGAGTATCGGAAGTAGGTAAGGGCGGTGAGGAAGAGCGGAAGAAGGCTAAAGCCGAATAATGTTGGCGATATCAGTGACGGCGTCATTATCCATTACAGAGGGCTGCAACAACACACAAAATCAACAACATGCAACGCTTAGTATAGCGTAAAATCAATAAACTATCTTGGCTCTGTTTTTTTTATTTAGTCTTTTCTCAAACCTTTTTACGTAACGTCAACGCGTTAGTTTCAAACATGTGGTTGAAATTTACGTTAACAATTATTCTATAAATGATAACTTAATTTATTTTATTCGAAATGAATCAATGCAAAAAAAAAAACATTATTAAATATTGAAATTTTCCATATTTTTGTATTGTTATCATACATATTATTAAGGTAAAATCACCAATACCTGACATCCTGCTCGAAAAATGGGAATAATAAAATTACAGGATCTCCTTGAAGTCTATTTCATATATTTTTAGTCTGCGATTTGGCTCAATCCAGATACCTATCCTTCCATAACTAACTTCAGAACCATCCGAACCCTCTCGTTTTAAACCTTGCTTCCTCCTCGATCCCTGATAACCCTCCGAGGCGTCCGAAAAGAAGGTGGCTTCGTGATCTTCTTGTGTAAATTTATTATTCCAATGCTACCAGTGGGTAGTTTTTCAGAAAATGTTTTCACGTCATTATATCCATTTGTACAAATTTACTTGATGTATTTCTTCAGTACAGTTGTAAATATCATTAAGAAATAAAAAATAAAAAAAAAGTTAATATTTTCAGTACAAACTCGAGAAAATAGGTAACCTACGAAAATATTGGGTCGTTTGTCCTCCACGCCCAACATGTCAAAATAACAAGCTTTTATGTTCTAAACGGCTCAATATTTGTACGATTCAATTGGAAATCAAATGGTTGTTGTTTATTGCTCAGAGGCGTAAAACCCCGAGGTCATCAGCGACTATCTAATCCTCATTTCAATTATTTCGGTAATAAATTATTTGGGGATTTTTTAAATTTTCTTTAGTAAATCGTCATCTTTAAGAAAATTGATCACCGTTTTTATTTTAACTTCTTATAATTTTGGTACGAGTCCCACTTTTGGTAAGCATACTCCAGAAAATATGGACTGTGAGAGTTCCTTAGCGATGTTGGCATTTTATTGCATGCTGTTTGCTTATTAAATAGTGTCATGTTTGTATATGAAAATCAATTGGTTATTTTCATAGAGTTTTTTTTTTAATACTTCATTGAATTGATTAATTTAATGAGAGATCGCCCCATTTTTGAGAATTTTCGTAGATACAATTTTTGTGGATTACGATAAGATGACGCCATCATGAAGTTTTAGACGGATGTCAATATTTTGACAAAAAGGGATCTGTACTACGGACCATTGGTTAGTTATAATAGCTTGACCTTTTATTTCCTCAAGAGTCAATCTTGGACTGCATTGCCTTTTCCGTAATCACTGAGTAGCATTGAATCGGCGAGAGGTTAGAAAATGGCGGCCTGACTGTTAATTTGAGCCTGTTGTGTGGAGTGAAAGGGGCTCGTTAGGAGGAGCACACACACACTTTTACTCAACAGCAGAGCCACCGATTTACAAAAGGCATTGTGTTTCGGGCAAGGTCAGGGCCGTTCTGACTTGCAGTCTCGTTCCCTCCGGAAATTGCCCCGTGGTTTTTTTTTTTTTTTTTTTTATTAGAGGCTCCAGATCCAGCCATTTAGCGCCATTTCACAGCTGGTTAGCCCGCTTTGTAATATCCTGCCTGGAAAGGCCCTTTAAGATTAATATCCCATGCATTGTTCTCAAATTTGTTGAAGTACGCCTACCTTCCAGTATAATCCTGGAGAATCCCTCGTACTTCTCCTTGTTGTCCGAAGATTATTCTGAAGGCTGGGTCTGGAATGTTGTCAAATCAGAGAGAGAGAAATACTTTATTAAAAGTAATGCTGCCCTACTACATATGGTTGCTTCACACATAGCATACTTATCAATCCATAGGGACATAACTACTATATTACATTTTTATATTTTTATATATATACTAGCTTTACCCGGCCACGCGCTGCTGTGGCTTAGCCTGGCAAATTAAAAAAGAAAGAAAATAGAAAGCACATATGAGTAGATTAGTAGCAAAGGACATCTGTCATTTTTAAAAAGTTGGGACACAAATTTGTCTGTAAAATGGTTTCAATTTAAACTATTAGAATTAGGTTTTTTTTTCTCATGATTCAAATTGAACATTCATAATCATCTGAGTGAATACGCCGTCATTCATAATCATCAGAAACAGTCTGAGTTGAATTTATAAAACTAAAATAAAAAAAAACGTATAATAGTATTGACCTACATAAGGAGAATCATATAAATTCTTCAAATGATAATTTCAATTACTGTAGTAATTATGAAACTTTCGATTAATCAATAAAAAAAAAAATGCTTGCAGACGTTCGGTAGTGAGGAAGCAAAAGGAAACGGCCTTTACTGAAGAGAAAGCAATAAATGTTTAAAACTCAATCACTCTGCAACGAACCGTCCGATTTCGATGATTTTTATTTTATTTTTTTGTCAGAAATTCAGAAATCTTTCAGATAAATATGGGTATCATCAGTCAAAAATTGTGTACTTTTTTAGTTATTGTCAAATAAAATATTGATTCATCGTAACATTTTCCAGCTTGTTTTTGGGAAAGTATGTTATAAACATGAATTAAAAGGGTTTCAAGGGGAAGACTTTAGCCAAGTTTCGTTAAAATCGGTAAAGCCATTTTGGCGCTACAGTTTATAGCGACACATTTTTTGCGGCTTTGAACAGAAAAACATTTACATTTTTTTTTACATATATAAAATTACCGTAAGACAGAAGTACTATGCCAGAAACCTTCCCAGGAGTGTGCGGAACAACTTCTCAAACTTTCATGGCGATCGGTTGAATGGTTTAGTAATGCACTAAGGACAAACAGACAGACATACATTCATTTATATATATATATATATATATATATATATATATATATATATATATATATATATATATATATATATGACATGTCTTTCCTTTCTCTTTTTTTTTCTCCCTTTATATAATAATACTCTTATAAATTATCAACAATAAACCGTATTAAACTATAGACAAACATTTTCCCAAGATAAGAAAAAAAACTGTTATCTTTTCATTTGCTGAAGTTACTGAAAATTGTATCCATTATCATTGTGCTGCGTTCAATTTTTTAATTCATCTTTTTTAGTTAGGGAACATCTCTCATTATGGTACGCGCTGATTATTCACAGTTAGGACTCCAATTCTAATTTTATTTTGTTAATTAGTAGTATGCAATTATTCACATAAGTATATATATTTTTTATGGGTGATAAATAGTCAAGATGCAGTCCTTATAAAGTTTTTATCAGTGCCGACGTTTCAACCCAAACATGTGGGTCATCATCAGGTAGGTACTGAAGGTATTTGAGTATTCAACTTCAATGTTCAATGTTCAAAGTACTTGAATACCTTCAGTGCTCGAACCACACCCTGATGATTACCCACATGTTTGGGTTGAAACGTCGGCACTAACAAAAAATTTATAATGACTGCGTCCTGAATATTTATTACTCATGATATGTAGAACAGTCGACTAACTTCTTTCAACATATTTTTTAAGTATATTTTTATAGTATTGTAAAAAATATATAGTTTAATTGTGACTTAACTTGACTGTTAATTTATTAATTTTAAATATCGGGGTTTGGTCAAGCATTGGTTAAGCACTGAATTCAAAAGCTCAAGATATCGAGTTCGAATCCGGTTGATGACTAGTACTTGTTCATCACCCTATACTGAACTCGAAACCCTTCATGGGTTGTAGTGGTACAGGTTTTTTAAAAATTAATTTCAATTCAATTTTAATGTTTCATTGTTTTTCAGTTATATATTCTAAGTTGTCTTCTTAATTTACTTGATGTTGTCCATTGGTTTTACCACGGTTGGCAAGGTAGCCCTATTCTTTTAGTAACTTTTTAAAAGTTTTTTATCATTATTATTTTGTTTTTTTTTAGCAGGTAAGTGTTTATTTTGTGCCATATTTTCCCAGATCCTGATAGTTTTTGATCGTGTTATATGCAAAAGCAGTTGGAGAATACATGTGGCATGTTGCCCGGTTTGGAACGGTATTTTATAGTTCAGCTACAGTAATTTCAATATGAGATAATTCTTCTTGTAACGAACGATATTCCTAATTACGATAACGAAAAAACTAATGATAAATCGTTATAGAGGTTGAAAATATAATAAGCTGTCTAATTTCCTGCTGATGTCCTCCTTGTTTTAATATATTGCGCATTTCAACCTCAAAACATTTTAGAAACGTCTTTAATATATGCATGGCACCATTCGATCGAGTGTGAAGAAACCAATCCAGTTAGCTGTCTAACTCATTTTTGAAAATGATTGAGTCAGATGATATTCGATCTACAAAATCGATATATATAGTGCTAACTCCTTTTTACTTTCACACTGATTTATTTAAAAAATATATCTTTCGATATGCACTGAGTGTTTACTTTCGGTGTGACAGATATGATTTAAAGTTAATTGATTAGCCGCATGGTTTATATTAGAACATCAAGAAAATATAATTCCTTATGACAGTCACTCTAATCCAATCGCTCCACGCAAGATGCAACGTGGAACGACCTTCAATGTGAAATCTTGTGTGGATTATTAGTAGTCAGCAGAGAAGGAATTTCATCAGTTATGAACTCCTTTACGACAAAATCCAATCATTCCATCACACCGTAATTAGAATGAAAACTGGTAGAATGAAAATTTAAACTGAACAGTTAATATTTGCCGCCTTATTAAGCCTACTCCATCTCTGCCTATGTTGGAATATTTCTTCTTTTTGGTCTTCCACGTTGTCTTTTTCCTGTTATTGGGATATTCATTGTCGTGTAGAGCATTCCAGATAGATTGGTCCGAACTACGTGCCCCGTCTATCGTAACCTTGCCTTCAAATCATGAGATATTTATTGACCAGTTACTCTAAGCAGCTCTTCATTGTTCTTTCTCCTGCATGTGTTTGTACTCTGAT